CAATAATAAAGAAAAAAATTCAAATTTGTTTTTTTTTAAATCTTGATTTTTTTGAAATAAGATTCTAAATTAATTTTCTCAAAATTTTTAAATTTCTCAAGCTTTCAAACAACAATTTTAATTAGAAAACACAATATTTCAAAGTTCACTGTAGTTTTTTTCTATTTTAAAAATCCCTAAAATATTTGATTATTTTGTTTTGTAAAACTTTATTTTTTGTCAAAACTGGCTTTTGTTTTGGCTTTTTTCTCAATATTTTTAACATTTTAATTTCGTACTCCATTTCTCAATTCTAATGTAAAAACCCAATATTGCAAAGTTTTGTCTATTTTAAAAATCTCTAGAATTTTCAAAATAATCTTGACTTCATTTTTTTTGTGTTGTGATTCTTTTAAAATTTTTTGTAAAAATTGTTCAGAATGCTATCAATTTAACACCAAAGAATTTATATGTATTTAACTTTTTCAAAATTTCGTCTTTTTTCTCAATATTTTTAGTACCTTAAGTTCGTATTTCTCAATTATTTTTGAAAGATTCTGAATTAGTTTTCTCAGAATTTTGACTTTTTTCCTCAATTTCTCAAGTTCAAAGGTCAGTATTATAAAAACTCAAAATGTCCTCGTTTCTTGAGGAAAACTCAAAAAGCCCAAATTTGTGAGAAATTTCGTAGCTACCTCCACGGCGATTACATGGGCCACGACAAGCGCTCCGAAGGCTGGAGTCTGGAAAACGGCTATCCGAAAACCACCGGAAAAGACACTTTTCCGCGTCGTGCCATGTCCGCCGGGTCGAAAGCCGGTCTTTTCCTCCTCCTTCGAGCCTACGAACAGGACTTAGACTACGTGTGTCGTGGACCCGTCCAAGGCTTCAAAGTCCTCCTCCACCACCCTGCAGAAGTCCCCCGAGTGGGCACCCAGTACTTCCGCGCCCCTCTCAACCAGGAAATCGTGGTGGCCGTCAAACCCGACATGATGACAACATCACAAGGATTAAGAAATTACGATCCTCATCGAAGACAATGTTTCTTCGCTGAAGAACGCCAACTGCAATTTTTCCAAAATTATACGCAACAGAATTGTCAAGTGGAATGTGTGGCGAATTTCACTCTGGCGAAATGTGGATGTGTCGCTTTTCATATGCCACGTATTAAAATTTTCATAATTTTAAAATCAGGTGTTTAAAATTTATTCTAGATGCGGAATCGACGAAAATTTGCGGTTCGGGCAGCAATATGTGTATTTTCGAAGCTGAACGTAAGTAATTTCTGGGAATTTTGAGGAATTATGTGGAATTTTGGGGAATTACAGAGGAATTACTAGCTCGGGAAGTCGAGTCCGGGCTTTCACGTTACGATAACAACGATGATGATAATTTACCAACAAACTGTGATTGTTTACCGGCTTGCACCTCAATTACTTATAATGCCGAAACGTCGCAAGCTGATTTTAATTGGCCCAAAGTTTTTCAGGCTTTCAAGGCGAATTTCAGCGAATATCCAGGGTATTTTGCCACAATTACAATTAATAAGTGCCAAATAACGTTATTTCAGAGTACAAATGACCCGATTAACAATTTTCTTCAAAGACATGCAATTTATAACGTCTGAAAGAAACGAGCTTTATGGACAAACCGACTTTTTGGCTAATTGTGGAGGACTTTTGGGATTGTTTACCGGATTTTCCTTCTTATCAATAGTGGAAATTTTCTATTTCTTATCACTGAGGTTGATCTGTAACGTCAAGAAGTACGGAATACACTTTTGGTCAGGGTCGAAGGACTTGTTAAATGATGATGCATATCTTCACAAGCAACCGAAAGAAGATTTGAGTTAAAAAAGTTAAACTTAATTGCGTTCTAAGCAAAATCACTTAATATTTTACTAAAGCACTATAATTATCTCGAAACAAATGTGAATTTAATTAACAAGTGTCTAATTTTTGATGTTTTTTGATTCTCTAATAATGAAATAAATTCTGTTTAAATTGGCGTTGTTTTTTTTCTTTTTTGATGGAAATAAATAATTATAATTTAAAAACACAATATTGTAAAGCTCAGACTGGATTTTTTTTACAAAAATTCTAAAATCTTTAAAATAATCTTTAAAATAACATTGATTTTTGTGTGTTGTAACTCTTTTAAAATTTTAATTTTTTGTCAAAACTGTTGAAAATGCTACGAATTTAGCACACTAAAAGATTCAAATTTGATTTTTTCAAAATCTTTCTTTGAAATAACATTCTATGTTAATTTTCCCAAAATTGTGGCATTTTTTCTCAATATCTTTAATATTTTAAGTTTGTACTCAGTTTCTCAAGCTTTGAAATAAACGGTTTCAATTAAAAAACACAATATTCTAAAGTTCCCACTGGTTTTTTTCTATTTTAAAAATCCCTAAAATTTTTAAAATAATCTCGATTAAGGTTCTTGTTTTGTCAATTCTTTAAATTTGTGTGAATTTAATTAACAAGTGTATAATTTTTTATGTTTTTTGATTCTCTAATAATGAAATAAATTCTGTTTGAATTGGCGTTGCTTTATTTTTTTTTTATTTTTTGGACAAAAATTGCAAAAGTGAAGATTCAAAAATTTCAAACTTTTTTCAAATATTTGGAATTTTTCTCTGCACAAAATTTTTTCAGTTTTGTTTGATCTTAAGATTGTTTCTCAACAATCAGCCAATGTATTATTTTTTTTAACAAAATTATTTCAATTTAACTTCACCACAATATTTCAAGTTGGAAATAATTAAATCTCCAGTCAATAAAATCCTTGTTTACGTCTCTCACCTTGAAACTACCTTAAATTTTTTTTTTATTTTAAACCGACCAAAATGCTTTTAACCAAATATCTAATCGATTAGAAGTGACTCAAAATATACGAAATTGCCCCAAGCTCAGTAACATTCCAACCGACAATCCAGTTTTTGATTAAAACAAACTAAAAGCTATTAAAAGTTGAAAGGTTGCACATACCGGAATTGATACCTCATTATAGAATCAAATTAGAAGATTATGAACATAATTAATTTTTTATTGCTTTTAAACACTGCGAGAAAAAATCAATTTTCACGTTTTCTGACCAATCCTTGTAATTATCTTCACAACTAATGAAGAAATGAAGAAGAAAAATATGTCAATAAAGAGTAACCACTATTAAAAAATTGTTGAAAAACCGCAACGAAAGTTCAAGGACTGCAAACCATGTTCAAGTTTTTGAAGAATAGTTTCTTCAGTAGATCTTCACTGTTGCTACAATGACCATCATAGGGTAAAATTGATCACACTTGTGAGCACTTTGTTGAATTTTGTCAATTTTAAGAATTTGTGGTGGCAGTGAACGAGGTGATCTCGAACTCACCGACAAAGCGGATTATGTGAAGAATGAAGAAGGTAAAAGGAGTTACACTTGTGGTCAAAATTTCATCAATTATGTTGTGGAGTTTTGCAATAATGGGACAATACATGGAATTCGGTACTTCGGGGAGTACCGCACTTGGATCGAGAAGTATGTACTCCCAATTAATTTTATTCAATTTAAAATTAGTTTTTTTCAATTTTGATTCAATATTATAAATCATGGTGGGCCAAAGTTTTTGTTTATTACTCTACTTTTGCGTAACATTAATTATTCAAACGTACAATAATTTGATTTTTCAAAATCTTGATTTCTTTGAAAGAATCAAAAACTAAAATTTGATTTTTTCAAAATTTTGATTTTTTCGAAAAATTGGGATTTAATTTTCTTCAAATTTTGGCATTTTTTCTCAATATCTTTAATATTTTCCTCTTTTACTCAATATCTTTAATATTTACCTACTCAATTTCTCAAGCTTTCAAACAAACAATTTCAATTAAAAAACACAATATTCACACAGGCTTTTTTCTATATAAAAAATCCCTATAATTTTTAAAATAATCTTGACTAATGTCCTTGTTTTGTAAATCCTTTAAAATATTTATTTTTTGTCAAAATTGTTTGGCTTTTGTTTTGACTTTTTTCTTTAATCTTTAATATCTTAACTAATCTTTAATATTTTAAGTTCGTACTCCATTTCTCAATTCTAATGTAAAAACTCAATATTGCAAAGTTTTTTTTTAAATTAAAATTTTCAATTTTGATTTAATTTTCTTGTAGATTATGGTGGGCCATAAGTATTTGTTTATTACTCTATTTTTGCGTTACTTTAATTATTCAAACATAAAAAAATGATTTTTTTTAAATCTTGATTTCTTTGAAAGATTCTGAATTAATTCTCTTAAAGTTTTGACTTTTTTTAATACCTTTAAAAATTTTGAGTTCTTGCTCATTTTCTCAAGCTTGGAAATTTTTTTGTTTTAAAAATCTCTAAAATTTTTACAATAATCTTGACTTTAACCTTTTTGATTTCTGTTTTTTAATCTTTTTTGTTTGAAAGATTTTGAGTTAATTTCGGCATTTACCTTCTAGGGAGGTAAAAATTTTACTTCCCTCTTCTGTCAAGATTACAGTAAAAATCTATGTAACCTTTCAGGGAGGTCAAGAAAAATTGTTACGAATGTGTCTTTTTCTTCCTTGGTCAGGTTAGGAAACGTATCGAAGGCTGTAATGCCAACTGTGAAAAAAAAATTTTTTTTGAATTCTTTATTTATTTTTTAAATTCTTAGAAACGCTACCAATTTAATAGTTTAAAAAACTGAAACTTAATTTTTAAAAATCTTGATTTAAAAAAAAATTAAATTCATTTTCCTAAAATTTGGGCATTTTTTTTCATGTCTTTAATATTTTAAGTTTGGACTCAATTTCTTAGGTTTGCAAATAATCAGTTATAATGTAAAAACTCAGTATTGTAAAGCTCAGACTGGCTTTGTTCTATTTTAAAAATCTCAAAAATTTTCAAAATAATTTCGACTTTCTTAATCTTTTTGTTTTGTATATTCTTTAAAATCTTTATTTTTTTGTCAAAAGTGTTAAAAATGCTACTAA